GCTCGGGAGGAGCTGGTGACCCCTTGGCACCTGCTCGGGTTGTTCTATCGCTGCGTGCAGGGATCAAAACGCTCCCTCGGAGGTTTGTGCCCGGCAGGACGAAGGGCAGAAATCAGCTGGGGAACAGTAAAAAGAAATCCTGGAGTCTGGCGAGCAGCGCTGTGCGGGGCTGCACCTGCAGGTCCCGGAGTCCACGCGTGTCGCGAGAGCCCCGGGGTATCGTGAGAAACGGCTCTTACCTTGGACACATCACGCGGAACAGACAAGGAGAAATGAGGAACAGCCAAGCACACAGCACAAAAATAATCAAATGTTAGAAAAGAGGCCTAGGAGGAACCCAAGGAATCAGGCAACGCGCGCCTACGGCTCCCACTCCACCTGAAATCGTCTGCCCGAAGACGCGCGGCAGCTCCCAGGGAGCAGAGCCCAGGTCTCAGGGTCTCCCATGCAGGCCCTTACCCAGCGACCACATCGTCCTCAGGAAAAAAACCAAGTGCCTGATGCCAGACTGGGCAAAGAGAGAGCAGAAAACACAGCAGTGAGCAATTTCTTGCCTGCACTGATAAAGAAAAAGATGTCCTCAAGCTACTGTACTGTATAGTTCTGATATAGTGGGCTTTTTGGAGGGCTGGTGGAGGAACCGTATACAGGAACCTCTATATAAAGGTGCATTTAAAGGTGCCTGATCTGCATTGCTACTTTTCAATCCTGCGCCTGTGAATCCTTGCTGTTTTAAAAAAGAAATGTTGTAAATCAGATCAAAAGGAGAGTATTGTGCCTTGCTTAGGAAATGTGTGGGGTTCATGGAGTCACTGAGCTACCTGAAGTATTTTTTCCTTATTCTTTATGGGTTGTGAGCGCTGAAGAGGGATGGTCGTGGCAGTGAGGGAAACACCAAGAAAAAAAAATCAAAAGCTGTTCTCTCTGCTTCCAGGAGCAGGCACTCCGAATTGTTTTCAGCTGCTGGCATGTGTGTGAGTAGCCAGGAGGTCCTGTCTTTACTCGAAAGTCAGTCTCCAAAGCCGTCGATGTTCCTGCAGAAAGCTGCCCTCCCTGCAACACCACCTCAGCAGCGCTCCGCTGCCTGCGAGCGCGGCGCGGCAGTGACTCCGCGGGAGCTATTCCTGGTTTACAAGACCAGAAACGGTGCCAACGTCCCTTAGACTGGCAACCCTCTCCTTGCTCAAAGCCTTTCCCTTGCCGCAGGTAGTCTTCAGCAGGTCGGCGTATTCCGTCGTGTATGTTTCTTCTTATATATATGTTTATATATGTAATATATTTATATATTCTTATATATATGTTTCTTGAAAAACGATCTTCTTGTCAGAGAGAGGAGAGGAAACCCATTCCAGCAGCCCCAATAATCACCAGTTTAGCATCCTTTAGACTGCACCTGTTGGAGCGTTACATCCAGGGGCTGGAAGGCAGACGGCTCCCTGGAAGCTGCCTGCTGGGTTGCTGTCTTCCCTTTATTGCCTTCCTTTGAGAGTCACAGGGGCAGACAATACGTTCACCGCATTGCTGCAAACTCACTCAGCCTTAGCTCACTTTTCTGGGAGGGTTTCCCCTCCTCTCCCCCC